TATTTAGGCTCCGCCTTTTTTGGCCGATGTTTACTTTTCCCCTAACTTATACTGTACATCGGACAGACGTACAATTTTTCTGAGTGTGCTTATAATTTTGTGGCTGCTACTATATTGTCACCATTTATGGTCCGTATATCTGTGTATAACAACGAGAGGATATTGTATCCTTATTACCACATTTAGATATGTATACAGTAATGACAGCAGTGGCGGCGCTCTAAAATCTTTTTTTTTTGAAAGGATCTTTTTCCACACACAAACAGATACTTAAATTGTAGTAGTCAAATAATATGGATTCACATATGGTTTTTTTTTGTTCCAAATCATAGTAGCACTAACTATAGAAGTATCCATCGTAAAAACAAAAATAATGGAAACGTGTATTGGTATTTTTTTTCCTTTCATTTCTTTCATTAAAAATGCCATCAAAGTAACCGTGGTAGTGGTATATCCAAAACACCTATACAAAGAGGATATATACTTGGAAAAAAAGTGAAGATAATTCAGAAAAAAAGGGGAACTTCAAAAGAAGTAGAAGGAAAATACAGAAAACGAAGAAGCAATACAACTACTTCCATTTTTTTTGATATTTTCAAGTTGGGTTTCACTTGGCATTATTTTTTTTTTTGGTTCTCATCATTTCATTTGTCCTGTGTGTGTGTGTTTTTGTCCAAATTTCCTTTCAATGATCCTCAAAAAATCCGAGGAAATTTTTTTTTTGGTTTCAACAAATGCTACTCCAACACTATACACACAAAGATATATATTTTTTTTTATTAATAAAGGAAAAAACTCAAGATGTTGTTTGTTGTGATGCTGATGTTGTTGTTGTTGATGATGATGATCCGAATGTGGCAGTCATATAATGATGATGATTGGTGATAATAGATAAATCTACGAGTTTTAACCCTCATAATAATAATAAATTTCAATTGATTGAATTTTGTTTTTTAAAGAAGAATGGTGATTTATTGTGTGTTTGTGTTTTTGGATTATTATTATTAGTTTTAGAATGAATTTCATCAATGATTATCAACTGAAATTATTTTGAAATTAAACTCAAATTGAAATTCTGCATAGTAAATATGAAGAAATATCGCCGCATCTGATTTCATTCACAATTTTCTTCAGGATTTTTACTTTGTTATGATCTTATTGTTTTTGTTTTATTAAAAAAAATACATCAATTCTAATTCATTATTTTGTTTTCAATGTCTTCGATGTGTTGATTTATTTGATGCAACATAAACACACATCCATCTAAATTTTGTGTATAGATGATTTTAAGAATGACAAACAAATATATTTAGTGAAACAACTAATTAAAAGAAAAAAAATTAATTATTTCGGTGAAAAAGTTTCGATAAATTAAAAAATCATTGTGCTCATACTCAAACTACTGCCGATTATTATCTTCAAAAGCCATTACAATTGTTCTTTAGGTGAAATGGCATAATAACAACTTATGAACATTCTTCTGGAACGTAACTTGTTCGTAAATTGAAGAATGACTGTATCATCAATTCAAAAACAAAAATATTGACAACAATCTTCTTTTATCATTCAACGAATAATCATTTAATGACACAGAAATTTTTAAAATTCTGTAAGTAATTCTTTTTGGGTAAAAAGTTATCCAATTACAAATCCATGTTCAATGTCGATTGTCATCATTATGATGAAATTGGTTACAGTGTTGTGAAATTTTCATCAAATAAGTTTGTGAGAAGAAAATGTATGTCGAGTATGACCCGGTTGAATGATGTGACTAATGGTGTTGTGATTAAATATTCCGATTCTGATCTTATGATTTGCCATGCCATTTTCGTTATCAGTCATCAGGTCCACGGCTTATTTATTACGGAAATATGACTGATTTCCTATGGTATCTTAAGAGGCCTTTCTCTACATTACATTACATATGTATGTTATATTTGAATTAAAAGAAAGATATGTATGATTTTTATATGATGTTGATGAATGATAATAATATACAAACTGTATGTCGTTAAAAAAAAGTTGCTACTTCTTCGAATGACAATTTTTTTTTTACTCGGCGTCATCATACATTCAACGTCACCACCACCAACAACAACTCAATGATACTGATCATCACATCGACATTTATATTTCTGAGATCAAAACAACGAATGTCTTATGTATATTTTTTTCTATGTTTTTTTTTGGTGTGATTTCGATGTCACACACAAATAGTGTGTTTCTATTTTTTTTAAATACTTGTTTTGTTTAAATTATTTATCGATTCATAAACTGAAAGATTCTCTCTTTTTTTCGGAAAAATTGTCTGTCCCCTCTAAATTATCATCGTTAAATCGATCATCGATCGATTTTTTGACAGTTTTTTCTTTAAAAAAAAACTGTAATTATTCATTATATTATGTTGTCCAATGAGAAAACACAAAACATAAATTCGTAATAATCATTTTGTGTGTGCGTGTAACATCATTTTAATTAGATTTTAATTTCACAATAACATTGTTGTTTGGATTTTTTTCTGTGTCACTCATGAAACAAATTTAAAGAGACAATATTATGTGAGTGTGTACATCATCACTAAGCAATTAAATAAATACGGTTGTTTTTTTTTTTGTTCAAAATAACGGAAATTCCATCATATCTTTTTTTTGAAAAGTAATGAATGAAAAACAAACATGTTTAACTTGATTGTATAAATAGAAAAAAATAAGAATCAAATTTATTTGAAAAACTATCTAATAATCATTCAAAATAAAATGTTTATATCCACCAATTTATAGATTAATCGTACACGATTCGATTAGATTTGAAATTGAAAAAAAAATTTCTGAAATACTATTAACAAACATAAAGATGAGGGAAAAAATTATCATCAAATGTAAAATCCTATCATCATCAATTGAATTACTATTTAATTATCGATTTAAAAAATACTGATATTTATTAAGAACAACAAAAACCTATCAACTATATATAGTTATATATCAAATTATACTGATCATTTACTAGATTGTTTTTTTTACCAAAACAAAAATATGATTTTGATTTTGAACTTCATCTAAAGGTGGTGTATCCTAGGCATAATATTCAATCATTATTCTCATTATCAATTTGAATTGATAAAAATATTGAATTGATTTTTCTCGAAATGAAAAAATTCGAATGATATGATGATGAATATGATAATAAAAATCATGAAATAAACCAGAATCAATTTTTTGTTTGCTCGATTTTGTGGATTCCTTCTTTTTTCTCTTCATATTGTATGTTTTATTTGTATTACACAATATTCAATCTTTTTTTTGCTGATGAATCAAATGCCATCGGTCATGATAATGATGATGATATATTTTTAATGATAAATATAATGATGAAAATTCCCAAAATCCCAAAAAGCTTTTCATTCATTTCATTTTATGATGATGTTATACATTAGAAAAAACAATATATATGCCCTAAAAGCAAATATATACAAAAACATTCGTTGAATTCGAATCTTCCAATAAATTTATTTTTTCTTATTCTGTTTTTTTTTTTGTTTCCATAAGACAATATGTCAATCGACTTGTTTGTATTGATGGTGGGTGCACATTGACACAGAATAATTGTGTTGAAAATCATAAATTAAGTTTTTTCAAATATAAAAAACCCCTTTCGATGAAAACTACTAGAAACATTTTGTCCATGACATTCATAACTTGTAAGGTTTATATTGATTTATCATTATGTTTGAATTGGTGAAGATATTCAAGTGGTTACGATTTTTCTATTTTTTTCATCAATCAATTTCTTCATTCTAATCGAACAAATTATTGAATCCTTATTATCTTATTGATTTTTCTATTTACCATGATGTCCTGGTCTTATAATCTAATCAAAAAAACACAAACACGTTAGAGCTAATCTTTTGATTGGTTGATTGATTGATCGATTGCTGGGTTAGTTGTTTTTTATTTTGGGTTCCAAGCTTAATGTTTTATAACGACATCAACACCAACAATATTGGGTTTTTCTTTTTATTTCTTTAGATCAGGATCAGTGTGTTTTTTTTATCATCAAATCATTATGAAACAAAAAAATTTCAATTTTTTTCATTTTCTATCTTACCGCTTTCTTCTGTTCATATTCATTGATTACAAATTCATGTATACAATTTTTTCTTTTCTATTCGTCTGTTTGTATGTTTCTTCAAATATATTTAAAAAAGATATAGATAAAAAGATTTCAAAAAAAAAAGTTTTCGTCATATAAAAATGTCGCCCATCATAATGAAGATGATGTTGATTGGATTGATGGAAAAAATAATCCTCTCTCCATTATCATCATCATCATCTTCTTTAACGTTTCCATCATCTTGACCATCATTTTTTCTGATGATGATCTTTATATTTTGTTTTTTTTTCTTACAAAAAATAAAATCATCAAACATATTGGTATAAATGATAGAAAGGCAAGTCGCCATTATCAACAGTAACATTATTATGTAATTCATTGATTCATCGATTATACAAACACAAACGCAGCTTTTTAAATGAGATTAGATTTTTAAAATGTTAAATTTATGTTTGTTTCATTTTATATTTTTAAGCTATTTTTTCTGGTCAAGTTTTTTTTCCATTTAGAATGAATTTAAATTGCAACGTAAGATACCTGTTGCAAGTGTAATACGAATTCGTATTTGTTTCACAAACATATATGATTCATAAGAAATTCTCAATGAATTTTCACTTTGGCCCATTTATTCTATATTGTCTATATTTGTTTTTTTTTTGTTTGTTGTTATATTAATGTCTATTTGTTTTACTTTATGTTTCTAGGAACAAGTGCCTCATTCTCGATGAGAACTATCATAATCATCAACAGCATCATCAACGTCATTATAATCAACAGCAACAGCAGTCACATAATCAACAAAATCATCATCATCATAGCAGCATCAATAACCACGATCATCATCAAAATCATCATCATAATAATAACGACCAACAACGACGACGACAACAAGAAGAAGAAGAAAAAGATCAACGACATCAACAACAACAACATAAAGAAGCTGAAATTGAAACTCGACAACAACAACATCAGCGACGAAGACGACGAGAACAAGAAAATCATTGTGAAAATAGTGAAAAAGACAGCGAAGACGAAGGAAATTATATTGAAGAGTTAGCAGAGCTGATCTCGGCAGCAGGCAATTTTAATGAAATGAACTCACTATCGGTCAAGCCGGACAAGTGTGCCATATTACAGGAGACTGTTAAACAGATACAGAACATCAATAAACAAAGTGAGTAAATAAATAAATGGATTAGCTAGATCCTTAATTTTTTCCCCCAAATTTATTATATCCATTATAAATGCTGTTATTAAATGAAATTGAAGATTTAAAAAGATTTTCTTTGCGAAACACCTTTTGTGTATTTTCAATTAGTTTTTTTCTTTTGCTTTCTATTTTTTAATGCAATAATTGTTATTATTTTTGATCGTTATTTTATGAATTTTTCTGTTTTTTTCTTCTTTTTTTATTTGCTTTGAATTTTGCATCATAAATTGTGACATTATAATATAGATTTAACAACCGATGATCTTCAAGCATCGGAAGTCTCCTCATCCAAACCCAACATATTGCCACCGGATCTGAATTCATTGCTATTGGATGCATTGGATTGTTTCCTATTCACATTGAATGCCGATGGTTATGTTGAATATATTAGTGAAAATGTTAACCAATATCTTAAATTCACTCAGGTATGTTGTATTATTAGTTAACAAAAATAATTCAAATTTAATCGATTCGTCTACCAAAAATAAACTATCTTAAAAATCATTTATTATCGATTCTATTAATTTTTTACAAGCTTATTAACAAGTTTTATTAATCGATTTTTGTGTTTTTTATCGTTTTTTTCACATAAATTTTTCTATGATGTTACTTATCGTCGAATATTATCATCTTTATTTCTCTACTTTGGAACTATTAATTATGAAATAATGCAGAGTGAAGTGATTAACAAGTCAATATTTGATATTTTGCATCCAGACGATCATCCACGTTTCAATGCATTATTATTGCCAATGGCAATTGGCAACAATGGAAGACGACTATCTTCGAATAATAATAATGTTAATAATTCTCAGTGTTGGCCATCTTCAACCACCGCCAATAATAACATTAATTCTGGCACAAACAATAACAGTAATTCTTCATCATCCATGCTTGATCAATCACAGTTAATTCGAAACAATAATAATAATAACAATGAAAATTCATCATCAACATTGACAACTAATTCCGCCAACTCTTTTTCATCATCGTCGTTGAATCAGAATTTATCGACAACGTCATCAAATAACACTTCCACGTCGTTGTCTTCAAATCAATCGCACCAACAACAGAATTCCATCCATTTAACCGGTAATTTAGCTACATCCGGTACAACTAATGTGTCTTCAGGTTCAACCAATCAATCTGCCAATCAATCATCATCTTCATTAAATCCTAATACTTGCTCAGGATCAACATCATCATCATCTAGCTCATCATCATCTTTGATTGGAACATTGACTAGCTTGAACCAAAGCAGTAACCACAATGAATTCAATTCATTCAATTCAAGATTTTTGGTCAAATCCGAAGGACTAATGCATTCAAGTGAAAATGATGATGATGATTATGGTGATGAAAACTTTGGTGATGATGAACTTTCCACTCGTGATAATGATGATTTTTTGGATAGTTTAAATTTCGATGATAATGAAGCATTGGCTCAAAACGATGATTCATCGGTATTAGATTCGGATCTAGCTGCTGTTTTAGATGCGGCACAAGCCGAATCATCGTCATCATCAACAATGTCAATGGCAAAATTAAATCATAGTAATCAGGTTATTGCTAAACAAAAACAACGTCTATTGTTGCTCAAACAACAAAAACGTAAACAAAAATTGCAACAAAAAGAATCATCCAATCTAGAATCATGTTTACCTCAATACGAATTGATGCAAGTGAATACCAAGTTTATTTCGAATTCTGAATCCAAACAAATCGATTCACTAAGCACGACCTTGAGTTTAAACAATTCTACATTTGTTGGATTCTCTAGTCCTGGTACAGCTGGCGGTCACCAAATGACGGAAGACTCACGCGTACTATGTGTTGCACGTCGTCTGCCGAATTCGGAGCAACATTCATCGGGAAATTCTGGTCAAACAAAATGTCAGATAAAACATTTCAGTACACGTCTGGATATGTATGGATGTGTTACACATGTAGACTGGTCTACATTGTCTTCGAATAATATCCAAATACAGCGGCAAATATCCCATCTACAAAATAATTTAAAAGCAAATCGATTATTTCATGATTCTGTGCATAAGGACGATCTGAATAAAGTTCAACAACATCTTAAGGACGCCATTATTAATGCCGGTGGTTCATCGCCGGCTGCTGTATCAAAATCTTATCGTCTCAAAGTTGGTCCAGATCAATATGCAAAAGTTTTGACCAAAACAAAATTATTAAAAAATAATTTCATGATGTCCAAGCATACCATCTTTTTTGAACAGAATTCATTATCACCAATGAAAAAAGAGGAAGATGATCAATCAATAATTGAAAATCGTTCAAATACGAATTTGTCTGGTAATTTCAACAATATTGGTGGAAATCACAATATTGGATCTTCACCTGCTGCAACACAGGTTAGTAATGAACAGCCAAATCGTACAACCAGCAGCAACGATTCTCTACAACAAACCACATCCTCTTCATCACAATCTATGTCGACGACCAATAATCCTCAACAACACGATTCAGCAACAACGCAGCAAAATTTACATCAGCAGCATCAATTCTCATCATCAACTGCATCCACATCAGGATTATCTGCTTGTGTAACATCATCTGGGATGTTAAATTCAAATCATCAAATCACTACGAATCCAATGATGCAAAATCATCAATGGTCAAATAATCAATTTCAACAACCTCAGGCTCCACCAGATTTATCATCATCGTCATCGTCATCAATGCAAATGCAACAATCAAATGGTAAGCAATTATACTTTTTGTATTTTTCACAATATTTTTCATATTCTAACATCAAAATAGTTGCCTATTCATCAGCATCTCAATTTAATAATCCATTGACCACATTAACCTCATCAGCATCTTCATCATCTACTGCTGTTTCAGCAACACCGACAGTGATCGATTTGAATCTTGATGATTTTGATGAAATGTTTTCGAGTAGATGGGAATTCAGTGATACAAATCCATCATCAAATGCAATGATTCGACAGCAAGAAGAGCCAACAACAACTGTGGAAAACATTGCCTTATCATCATCATCATTATCATTTTCATCTTCTTTAGTGAATCCTCGTCAAATTTATACATCCGTTCCTTTCACTTCATCAATGTCGATGATGATTAATACAAGTGCCGCAAATGGTAATCCACAACAAATGACGATGATCTCATCACAGCCGCAAATGTTCTCATCATCTAATTCAACGATTGGTGGTAGTAATTCGGTACAGCAAGGCATAACTGTACAATCTTCCTTTGGAATTGGACAACTAGGACAGAACAATCAGCAACAGATGATTATGACCTCTGCAAATAATAGTGATCAACAACAGCATAGAGTGATAATGGATGATAAGCTCAGAAATTTGCTCACTAGTGGTCCAAATTCTTCATTAGGTATTGGTACATTAGATAATGATCAGGTTTCGGAATTCTCCTCAAACGACAATAATATTCTAAGTCATCAAAATAATAAGAACAATAAAACTAGTTCAGTACAACATTCATCAAACAATAGTAACAGTAGTGATAATATTTTGCGTGAATTATTAGATAATGCAGATGATCTAAATATTGGTGCTGGTGATTTAACGGGTGATATTCGAACGAGCAGTAATGATGAATCGGAATCCACTTTATCACATTTATCCGGATGTAATAGCTCATCTACGACGACGACAAACACCGCATCAATAGGATCGGCATCAAGTTTTGTCGATCTATTGAACGATACGAAATCTATGATTGTCAAGTCAAGTAATCAATTGACAATGACAACAGCCACCAATACGACTGCTTCTTCATCATCTAATAACATGTTACGTATGTTACTAAATGATGATGATTGTGTCAAATCGACCACAAATCAATCAACACGCGGAATGAAATTAGCCAATGTGAATAAAAATTCACAAAATGATGTGTTAGTGGAACATTTGTTAAAAGATCAACAACATCTGCCTCAGGATTCATCCAACACCACTCCTGGTAATAATCAGAAATCAACGTTTGGTATGTTGTGTTGAATTTAATTCGAACATACTATAAATTTTTTAATTGATTATTTTTTTGAAATTTCATTTGACAATTACAGAATTGAATTCTTTGCTTTCATCCAACAACGAAAATGGTTGCGCTATGCAACAACAACAACAACAACAATATAATTTCAATCTTAATAAAAGAAAATCACCGTTTGATCAGAATGAAGTCTATCAGATGCAAGATTCTGAATCTAAACGAATGGCAATCGGTTTAGCGAACATTACTACATCCACTTCATCGAATAGTGTTGGTGTTGTTAATAATACTAAAACGACACATAAATTATTGGCCTATCAGAATCCAATGTTAGCTTCAATGTTGGCTAAAACGCCTACATCATTACCAGAAGAAAAAATTCAAACAATTCCACCATCAATGATCTCATCGACACCGGATATTAAATTACCACCTAATCTAGACAAAAAAATTATACCAACACCACCAACTACAGGGACAAGCACTATTCAGTCAACACAACAAATACAACAAACACATTCAAATCAACATCAACAACATCATATTACACTACATCAAGCGAATTCAATGCAGCAACAACAACCGATCCAAAATATTCAATTACAAATTCAACAGCATGCTCAACAGCAACAACATTTAATTACAACAATTGTTCCGGGCAGTTCGACCAGTATGGTATCAGCACCTATAGCTATCAAATCTGGTCAACAGCAACAACAAATTTATCATACTAATCAAAGCCAATTACAGCAACAGATTAAGCAGCAGCAACAGGTAAGCAGCAATTATCAATAGACAAAATGTTTATATTTCATGGATCGTTGAATTTACATTTCCCCTTTTACGTTTCGTTTGAATGATCACACACACTCACTCCCTAAACCCGAAAAAATGTAGATTGCTGCAGGTGGAAATCTCGTTCAACGATTACAATTGAGACAGCAACAGATCAACAATAATTCAGACTTACAACAATTGTTACAGCAACAACTACAACAACAACAACAGCAGCAACAACAACCCGTTCTTCAACCGCAAACAACAATGTCGGTTGGTCAGCAAATCGTTCAACAGCAACAGCTTCAATTAAAGCAACAACAGCAGCAACAACAACAAACCGGTACTGGTCAACAAGCGACAAATTTTTTGACCCAAATTTTGACAACTGCATCAAATAATCCTCAACCAACATCTAATAATGTACTAGGTTCTGCTAATAATTGTGGTACAATGGTTGGTAATACCATGATTTCTAAAGGTGGTATGTTAACATTAACAGCGACCACGAATCAATGTGTCACCATGCTACGTAACGTATCAAAAATTCAACAACAGCAAGGAGCTACAATGACAATTCAACCACAATCAGTAACACAACAACAACCGATTGGTGTTGGATTTATTCACACATTATCCGGTGGACAACAGCAATTATCATCACAACAGCATGCGATTGTAACTCATCAACAACAGATTTCAACGAATCCACAACAACAAATTACGACAACGGCCCCTGTGATTGCATCTCAATCGAATCATCACAATCTGGCTCCAAATAATAGTAATAACAATGCTGGTCTAATGAATGATTCGATCGATCTGGAAGATCCCGCTTTGATTTCACAGATTTTGGATGAAGTAATAGAACTTCAAGATGATACAATGATTGGCGTCAATGCATCATCAACATCTTTGATCGTGAATAATGTTAATCAATTGAATAATAATCCTAATAATAATGGTGCTGTTGGTGTTGGAAACGTGATGAATATCAATAATCAACCTTCATTGAGTTCATTGCTCTCCAATACGGCTAATATGGCAAACGTTAGTGGTGGCAATGCTTGCAACATTACTACCACTGTCAATCGTCGTATCAACAATGATATCGGTCTGATTGCATCAGGTTTAGCCGATTCTACTGGCAGTCTTACTCAAGTTAATTCTATCACTACAAACGAGCAACAAGCTATTAGTGAAATACGTAAAGAATTGATGAAAGTGGAAAATCAACAAAACGTCAATACAGCAAATCATCAGATATTTTCATCGAATAATTCACAGCCACCTACACCTCAATCACCGATGTTGACGAATGTTATTGGCAGTCAATCATCTATTCAACAACAACATTCTGTTCTATCGGCTGGACAGCAACAACAAGTACCACCACCGAATTATCAACCACCTCCATCCTATCCTCAGGTATCGAATACTTTCATCAATAATAATCCTCAACCATCTATCAGTTCACAGGTATTTCAAATATCTTTACGCATTCAATTATTATTCATTGTTTTTATTTCTATTCTAATCTCACATAGGTTAATCGTGTGATGTCTCAATCGTCGGCAACTATGCAACAATTGATGCAACAACAAAGAGCCAATGTTAGTATGATGAATTCTCGTATCGGGCAGCAACAGCAATCGAATGCTGCAGTTATGCAAAGAGTTGCTGCCATGCAGCAAGTTTCTGGAACCGGTAATACATATCTTGTCGGTCCGACAACAACGGCAACAAACACGGGTCAACAACAGCAAATTCAATTTGTGCGAATGTCCAAAGGAGCGGTTAATTCTGGATTGACCGGAACCCAATCTATTGTTCTTGGCCAAGGACCTCCTAATTTAAATGTCGCTCATAAACGATTATTAATGCATCAAGAACAACAAGATTTCAATGTTAAACCATCAGATGGAGGATTCGATATAAACGGATTGAATTCAATAAATAACACTGTAGCACCAAATGTTCAGATTACCGTCAAACCTCGACAAGCCATGCCATCACAACAACAAGCGACAGCACAACAAGATATAATTGTTACACAAATGTCTCCAAGATATGTCATTGGCAGTAATAATAATACCAGCGGTAATATTCAAGTGCCTTCTACACCTCCAATACTACCTCAATCTCCAGTGCCGGGTTCTACACAAGTTCTTAGTCCAAGTCCGGTACAAGGCCCAACTTCTACAGGTGTTGTATCGCGTGGAAATAATAATGGTCCAGTATCTTATAATCATAGCGTTTCATATACTACAAGTCCGCAAACCACATTAGCAACTGCCAGTTGTGGCAATGGTCAACAAGTTCCATCGCCATTTTCTTCTACGAATCATATGTCACCCGGTCATTTTGTTACCGGTAATTCGAATATGACTACATCAGCATCACCATCGCCAGCACCACCACAATCGCCAATGTTGGTGCCATCACCACAATCGGTAAATAATCAACCGATTACACAGATTAGCTGGCAACAACAAGCATCACCAGCTGCATCTGCCCCTAATCGAATTTCATCTGGTAATCATAACGTACCATCACCAGCTCAACAAGTATTGTCACCATCAGGACCACCTACAATGCCTAAATCTCCAGTTACAGCTCCTAATCTTGTATCTATACAACAGCAAACTAATCCAATGCTGAATGCTCAGCTTTCATCAGGTAATTTTTTTGAAGCTGAATACTTTACGTATAATATTAAAATAACATTTTTTCTCTGTAGTTGGTCTTCAAAGATTTTCTCGTTCTACTCGACCGCAAGGACCTCGATTTTTTCCATCAAGACAAGGACAATTTTCAATGCAAGCAACTGCTGTTCAACAACAGCCACAAAATAATGGAGATCTAACACAACAATTCATTAGTCAACAAAATCATCATCAACAGCAACAACAACAACCGATGACCATATCAAATATTCCACATTTAGTGCAGCCGCGACGTTTGACATTACGAATGCCTATACAAACACAGCAAATTCAACAACAGCAACAGCAATCGTTTACCATTAATACTCAAACGAATGTCAAATTATCCATACAATCACAGCAACAAATAACGGCCAGTGTTGTTGATAATAGTTTTGTTGGGATCAGTGGTGCCAATAATGGCAATAAAATAAGTCCCACCTCGGCTATGTTTTCTCAACAGCAGCCCCAAATATCCCAACAAATCAATCTCAATGATCTATCCGGATTCGACAATCATGATGGATTGGTAAATGTTACATCGAGTGGAAATAATGTTTTATCAATAAATGATAATCGTCTATCGACCCAATCAAATACTAAGCCAACATCGGATTATGTAAAACAAAAATTGAATTCATTCGTTAGTGAACGTAGTAGTAATGTGCAACAGCAACAACATCAGGTGATATTACAACAGCAGCAATCACAAACATCCGTGCCAACATCACAACAACAGATTCTAATACAACAGCCCAACACGCCGCAACAATCTACTCCGAATAATTCGACATCATTATCAATGGAAGAAGCATCATATGTAGAATTTGAGGATTCATTTTTTGATCAATTTGTTGAAACATCCAATTCAGCTACAACAAACAGTATTAACATGGTGACAATCACCGGTAATCAATTAACGCAAGGACAACAAATAGTTGGCACTAATAATGATTCGACAATTGGTCGTAGCAATTCTATGGTATGCATTTTTTAAGCGATTCAGTTTTGTTCTAAATATTATTTGTCTCAAATTATAGGAAAATGATCAAAATCAAGGATCCAGTTTATTACAGCAATTGTTGTCACACGACAGTGGCAATAGTTGAATTATATCATCACTCATAAACATCCATTAATTACCTCCTCACTCGATTGGATTTTTTTTTCTCGAAATTTTCAAATTTCATTTTGCTATCAAATAATTATAATATAAATCACCATTATTATCACCAAACATCAATTGACAATTGGATCGTTCATTGTTGAATGATGCAATAGTTTTCTCTTTGTTTTTATTGCCTTAAGTTTTTTCCCTTATTTAATAAATTCTGTTTAGATTCGTAATTTATGTGTGACATCATCATCAATTTAGTTTATAACTGATTGATTGAGATTAATTCAATTTCGAATCATGTGCATACTTTTCTAATTTTCTTCGGATGTGATCATTATTTTTGTTTCGATCTTGATTGTCTTTTTTTTAATTTCATTTTTTCCGCTAAATCTCATTTTTGTTCAAATCTATCTGTGTTCTATTTCTTTCTTTTAATTTGTAACATTTTATTATTATTGAAATTTCATTATATCATCCAATCATTACCAACACAAGCACACACTCCACATCCACATTTTATCCATAATATTCAAACAATCTATTTCATTACAAACAAAATGAAACGATTTTTGGATTTGTTGTCGTTTTTATTATCAATTTATGTTGTTGTTGTTGATATTGTCATCATTGTTGCTCGTCTTGGTCTGTTGAAGAATAAAATTAATCGAACAAGATCCAAGCAAAAAAAAAACTGATTTCTTATCAAAGACTAAATATTCATCACATACACTTTTTCTTGTAAATCATCTATAGAATTAATGTTTTGTCAGCCTTTTTGTTTGTTGGTGTTTAAAAATTGTTGTTTTCACTATTCAAAAGCTAACAAAAATTGAATCATTTTTAAAAATCTACAAAAACACATCTTTCTTACATATATTTTGTAATCATGAATCATAATGAGCATGAATCTCAAGAATTTTTTTTTGTTGTGTTTCAAAAATTATCTCAAAATATGTTTTCAATTACTTTTGGTACCTCAGAAATTCATCTCATAAAAAATATCATTAAACCAACCGAAATCGAATCCATCCACATTAGCTTAAAATACAACATCAATATCTTGATTGGATTTTGATGTATTGTTTATTTCCTCACCATTTGAAGATGAATTAATTCCTTAGCGAACATATTTTGTAACCATCGTCATAATTACCATCCCATTTCATCTAAAATCATTCAATATTTTTTTCTGAGAAAAAAAACATTCGAAAATTTTTTATCATCTATTATTACTGATTTATGAAATTGATTATTATATTATTATTCACATGATCTATACACAGAAAATGATTGACTTTTGAATATATATTTCCGTTATTTGAATGTTGTTTTTTTTTGCTCCCAGATTTGACAAATTTAATGAATATCTAAATATTCTTTTATTATGAATCATTTGATGAAGAGATTCTATATTTGAAACATGATAAACAAAACAAAAAAATCTATATGCATTATTGATTGGTTATTTGAAAAATTTTACGATTATTTTTTAAAAAAATATAGACTTTATTTTTTTTCGTGTCACAACCATACAAACACACCATATACCTACCGTACAAATAAAATTGTAATATAATTCATATTTTTTATTGATTATTATCAGGAATCCTCACTAAAACACACACACATAGAACATTCATGTATATAACACATCCATATTTGCCCATAATAATAATAATAATGACATGACAAGGATCTCATCTATTTTTTTTTCTTTCTCTTCTTTTCTTGACATCTTATTATTAATTATTATTATCTCCCATTTCCAGTCATTTCTCTACATTCTTATGAAAAAGCATCTCATTATTATTATTATTATTATTATTATTTTCGTTTTATTCATTATTATTTTTCTTGATGATTTCTTTTATTTTGATTTACATAAAAACAATTGACATTTAAATGAATATTTTAAAAAAATGAGAAAACCTATATTATTATTATTATTATTATTAAATTTGAAAAAATAAAAAGAATGGCTATTATTGAAATGAATCTTATTTTGTTTTGTTTTTTGAAAGAGAGGGGTTACATGAACTTTAATTGGCATGAAAAGAATTTTGTACTCAGTATTGTCAATGGATTGTCAGATCGATCTTTTTTTTTGCCACCCACAAAGAATGGTACTTGAGAAAAATCAGTCGATCATAGATTGATTAATAAAGATTAGAACATTGATTGCAATAATTTAATGTAAAAGAAAGAACGTAATTAAGGCATTTTTTAAAACATTATCTTAATCGTAAAACATTTTTAAGATATAAACATCAATAATATGAACTAATTGACATTAGTTTGAGTGACAATGCCACCAACGCACAATTAAATTTTAGGTTTTATCTGTAAACAAAAAAAAAACATGATTTTTGCTTTACACATTGACAAATGTTTGACAACGATATTATCGAATCATATTTAGCAACTTTCCAGCGTAAATTTCAACGATTTCGCCATTGGTTATCACAATCACGTTGGATATTATTGATTGCTTTCATTATTTCTTCATTAATCATAATATGTGTCATCATGGTAGTTTGGTCGATTATGGAACGACAACACTTTCAGGGAGTTGAAAAGGATGAAATAATGAGAATCAATTTCAAATCAACAACCATGCGAAGTATTGTACGCCAAACGACGACACAGAAATTCAGTACTGAATTCGATTTCAAAAATAATCACTTTAAAATGAAAAAAATTTGTGATTATTTATGTAAACATGATCCAGAATTGGGTGGAAAACTTTGTGATTGTGATGAGCCACCATGTTCAGCCATGAGAAACTTCAAAAAAATATAGAATCGTTTGCAGAACAGACAAATATCAACATGTGTCAGTTTGTGAATTGAGAATGAGAAAAATTGTATTAGCTGAAGAATCAATGTTTTCGAGTTCAGATTTTTCGGGTAATTTCATAACCATGGAAGAATCTTCGTCAATTGTATTATTGTTTTTTGTTGTTTGCTCGATGAAATGTTGGGATATATCGACAGAACAATCTATTTCATTATCATTATCCTTATTGTTGTCTGTTGTTGTTTCTTCCTTCACTGATTTGCTATCGAATTTCAATTTATAATATGTATGATCACGATTTTCTCTGTATAAAGCCCATAATTTTCGTGCATCTTTATTTTTTACTGTTTTAGATATTAAAAAATTTTAAAATTAAATCTCATTGAAACTAAATTGTTGATAAGACTTACGAGATTGTCTTTTATTGCCAATATCAATACCATGTCTCCGACAAAAACTAAACACCCAAGTAGGGCGAGCACAAAATTGTTGAGGTGTAAGACCAAATTTATTACGAGCTAAATTCAAAGCCAATCGACGAATATCACAAGTTCTTATTCGATTTGCTTGTTCAATTGTTTGTCGTTGTTTTTGCTGCTCTAATATGATTATTTTCAATTCTTCTTCCAATTGTGGATGACGAGCTCGTGAATATCTTAATGATCGTAATGTTTCCGGCATAGCTTCGATAATGGCTTTATTTTTTCGCCAAAATCTTATATTAGATTCGGCTACGCTGAATTGTTTTTCGGCAGCACGATTACCAAATTTTTCAGCATATTCGATCACTTGACGTTTTTTATTCGCAGTGAATGAACGTCGTATTTTGCCCATTAATATAAAGTTTTGAAAAAATTAATTAAAATGAATAAAATTTTTAAAAATGTGAAATGTTAATTGATATGAAATATTTAATCGATTATTATCGATACAATCGATGTGCGTATAAATGTTATCCAATGGAAATAAATTATAGTGAAACGCCCTTCACTTTGTTCACATGAATACCTTAAATATATTTTTTCAATCTGTATAAATACGCATGCTTGTAGCTGAAAATAAATGGTTCAATGAGCGATTGCGCAGTTTAATGTACCGGTAATGTTTAAGCATTTGACTGCTGTTTTAGCTGCTACTTTCACACGCTTACAAACGTGTTCGATCAGTCATGATCCACACAATAAAGAGCCATTTTTCAATCTTTTTGAAAGAAAAAAAAACAATTTCTTAATCAAAATCGGTTTTTGATTTCTTTTCGCTCCATTCGTGAAATGCATAAATTTTGTAAATTTGATTTATTTATCTGATCAAATATATTTTTTTTTGGATATATCATCAGAATTATCGGAATTGTTTTCGATAAAATGATACGTCGTTTAATGACGGACAACTGACGAAGCAAACAAAAGATTTAGCTCAACATATTTTTTTTTTGGAGGGGATCATTTGCAGTGAGTATAATTGTGTTTCTCGGCTTTTTTCGTCAATAGTGAGGTTGAAACTTTTTAAATTTTTGATTTGGATAGCATATTTCTATCTTTTGGGACTATTATCCTTTCATAGTAAGAAATCTGCGAATACTCATCATTGTCAGATCGATTCGGTGGTCGTATATCGGTGTGTGTGTATGTGTGTTTATTGGAAACATCATACAATATCCGTTATTATTGACATTTCATTCGGTATGTGATGTAATTAGGTCTTTCTAATTCTCATTAAATTTTTTCTAGAATAGTTATATGTTTATAGTTAATTGATTGATTTAAAAAATGGATGAAAATTCAAATGGTTCTCAGGGTGCACCGCCTGTCTCATCACAATCTGGTGTACCGCAGCAACAACCACAACCTACACAACCATCTCCTGGACCTTCTCCATCATCGATTCCTGCTTCTTCGCAACAACAGATAATACCACATCATGTTAATGCAGGAATGATGCCACCCCCACAACCTGGACAACATCCCCATCAATCGTTACCCCCACCTCACATGCAACAAATTCCTCATGGTATGAATCATGGACCACAACAATCGCACACACCTCCTCAACAGCCATATTCCATGGCACCACCAACGCATCAACCACAACAGCATCATCCTTATGGCCCATCACCTCAACAAACTTGGTTGCCACCCCCTCCTAACTCGGCTATGGCGCCATCTCCTCAGCATCGTAACATAAATCATCATGGCGTATTAGGTCCTCAACCTCCGATTCAAGGAAAACCTATGCCGCCAATAGCTGGATCGCCACAACAACCTGGTCCGCCTCAGCAACAACCTTCATCATCGCCATCTCCGCATGGAAATTACTCCACACCACCACCTCAAGGTGGAACTGGAGGATATAGTTATCCTGGGCAACATATCACCAATGGAGAATATGTACAATCACCCCAACAAGGTGGTGCTGGTAATTATCCTGCACCTATCACTGGTTACGGTGGAATACCGAATCCTGATGCAAAATTTGCACCTCATCAATTACATCAATTACGTCATCAAATTATGGCATATCGATGCTTGGCACGTAATCAGCCAATACCTGATCATGTTAGTATTGCTTTGCAACATTCAGGAAAACGTTCCATACAATTCTCTCCTCAATCACAAATGCATCAACAGCAGCAACAACATGGTGGATGGCCGCGTCAACCAGTTCCATCCACACCCGATTTAATGCATCATCAACAGCAACAACAACAAAGACCACAAACTCCACAGCAACAAGGTCCACCTAATCAAATTGCACCATCATCAGGCAGTTATAACATGAATGGCGGACCAATGCCGATTAAATCAACGGGTATGGTGCCGTCGCAAATGAATGGTCCACCTGGATCAGCGATTGTTCCTTCTGTCGGTTCTGGTTCAATGATGAATGGTGGCACTGGAATGATAGCAGGTCCTGAACAGCAACAACAAGTTGTTCATCATGGTCATCATTCTGGATCACATCAATTTCCACCGCATTGGCGACCAGGGGCAACAACAAATGGTCAACCGCCTCCCCAAGTCCATCAGCCACCAGCTATGAATGAACGTGATATGAATACTTATCATGCTATGGCATCACAGCTTCAACAGCCTAAGCTAACTCGTGTAACTCCAGTGGCCAAGCCAGCTGGTCTGGATCCAATTGAATTGAAAAAAGAACGCGAAAGCTGTATTGCTCAACGTATTGCACATCGTGTGCAAGAATTGCAAAACTTACCCGGAAATATGTCGGAAGATCTGCGTATGAAAGCTATGATCGAATATCGAGCTTTGCGATTGTTAAATTTTCAAAAGCAATTGCGTGCCGATGTAATTGCTTGTATGCGTCGTGACACAACACTTGAAACTGGACAAAATCCAAAGCTATATCGTAAGCCTAAACGTATTGGCCTTCGAGAAGCCAGAATCACTGAAAAATTGGAAAAACAACAAAAACTTGAGCAAGAACGACGTCGCAAACAAAAGCATCAAGAATATATTAGTGCTATTCTGCAACATGCCAAAGATTTCAAAGAATATCATCGTAATATTCAGGCCAAGATCGGTCGGGTCAATAAAGCTGTGGCCGTTTATCATGCAAACACAGAACGTGAACAGAAAAAAGAACAAGAACGAATTGAAAAAGAACGTATGCGACGTTTAATGGCTGAAGATGAAGAAGGTTATCGGAAACTGATCGATCAAAAGAAAGATAAAAGATTGGCATTTTTATTATCTCAAACTGATGAATATATTCGTAATCTCACTGAAATGGTACGACAACATAAGGAAGAGCAAAGAAGAAGAGGTAAAGAGCGACGCAAAGTTCGAAGAAAGAAGAAGAAGAATGGTGTCGAAGGTGAAAATAATAAGGAAAATAAAGATGGAACGAAAAATTTACCGGATGGTGCTATTGATGAAAATAGTCAAAGTGGGGAACTTCGTGTCAATGTTATCGAAACTGAATCTGGCAAATTACTGACCGGGCAAGATGCACCATTAGCTTCTGAATTAGATCAATGGCTTCAAGAACATTCCGGATGGAGTGTTGCACCTAAATGCGAAAGACAACCGGGCGAAAGTGCTGATGGTGGCGGTGATTCGGAATCCGAATATGAAGAAGCCACCGAATCTGAAACTGATGATGATGAAAAATCGAATCAAGATTCTCAGAATAAAAATAATGGCGATGGTGAAAATAGTTCTACAGCAACATCCAATCCAACTCCTCAGATTTCTCCTGAAGATGATGAATACAAGGGTGGTGATGATCAAATTAATTATTATAATATTGCTCATGGTATTCGCGAACGTGTCACCGAACAATCATCATTGTTACGTAATGGTCAATTGAAAGAATATCAGATTCGTGGTCTCGAATGGTTGGTCTCATTATATAATAATAATTTGAATGGCATACTTGCTGATGAAATGGGTCTGGGTAAAACCATCCAAACAATTGGATTGATCACATATCTTATCGAAAAAAAACGTAACAATGGTCCATATCTAATTATTGTGCCATTATCGACAATGTCAAATTGGATGTTAGAATTTGATCGTTGGGCTCCTACAGTCATCAAAATCGCCTATAAAGGTAGGAAATTTCAGTCCTTTTAATTGTTTTGTTAAAATTTGTTTTTTTAGGTTCACCCGGAAATCGTAGAGATTTATGTGTTAATTTGAAATCAAACAAATTCAATGTATTATTGACTACTTATGAATACATCATCAAAGACAAAGCGGTACTAGCTAAGATAAAATGGAAGTACATGATTATTGATGAAGGACATCGTATGAAGAATCATCATTGTAAATTGACACAAATTTTGAATACACATTATACCGCTCCTCATCGAATTCTGTTGACCGGAACACCATTGCAAAACAAGCTGCCGGAATTATGGGCATTATTGAATTTCCTTTTGCCTTCAATCTTTAAGTCATGTAATACATTTGAACAGTGGTTCAATGCACCGTTCGCAACTACTGGTGAAAAAGTTGAATTGAATGAAGAAGAAACCATTTTGATTATTCGTCGTCTTCATAAAGTATTACGTCCATTTTTACTACGACGTTTGAAGAAAGAGGTAGAATCACAATTACCCGATAAAGTTGAATATGTAGTCAAGTGTGATATGAGCGCACTTCAACGTTATTTATATCGCCATATGCAAAGTAAAGGCGTCCTTTTGACCGATGGATCTGAAAAAGATAAAAAAGGTCGCGGTGGAACCCGTACATTGATGAACAGCATCATGCAACTGAGAAAAATTTGCAATCATCCATTTATGTTTCAACAAATTGAAGAATCTTATGCCGAACATTTGGGCTTAAATGATCGTATTGTATCTGGTCCTGATCTTTATCGTGCTGCTGGAAAATTTGAACTTCTTGACCGTATCCTACCTAAATTCCGTGCTACTAATCATCGCGTTCTTCTTTTCTGTCAGATGACTACTGCTATGACAATTTTGGAAGATTATTTTAATTATCGTTCTTATCAATATTTAAGATTGGATGGTACAACCAAAGCTGAGGATCGTGGTGCCCTGCTAAGTAAATTTAATGCACCTGGTTCTGAGTATTTTGTTTTTCTTCTGTCCACTCGTGCTGGAGGTTTGGGTTTGAATTTACAGGCCGCTGATACTGTCATTATTTTCGATTCAGATTGGAATCCACATCAAGATCTTCAAGCTCAAGATCGTGCCCATCGTATTGGTCAAAAGAATGAAGTACGTGTATTGCGTTTGGTAACTGTAAATTCAGTTGAAGAACGTATTTTAGCTGCAGCTAAATATAAATTAAATCTTGATGAAAAAGTCATCCAAGCTGGCATGTTTGATCAAAAATCTACTGGTTCAGAGAGAAAACAATTTCTTCAGGTTTGCTCATAATCATCATTTAATTTATTCATAATTTAAAGTTTTTATTTCATGAATTCATTTTACAGGCAATTTTGCAACAAGATGATGGCGATGAGGAAGATGATGAGAATGAAGTTCCTGATGATGAGACTATCAATCAAATGATCGCTCGTACAGAAGATGAATTTGAATTGTTTCAAAAGATGGATTTGGATCGTCGCCGTGAAGAGGCCCGAAATATAAAGCGTAAACCGCGATTAATGGAAGAATCTGAACTGCCATCATGGCTGTTGAAAGATGATTTTGAAGTTGAACGTTTGGCAAATGAAGAAGAAGAAGATAAACTATTCGGTCGAGGCTCCCGACAACGAAAAGAAGTTGATTATTCTGATTCACTCACTGAACGCCAATGGTTAAAAGCCATCGAAGATGGTAACTATGATGAAATCGAATTCCATACTGGCATTAAATCAAAACGACGCAAATCAAAAAGTGAATATTTTTAAATATGTTTACAATAAAAAAATTATCAATTTATTCTCCTCGATAGGTGGCAAACGACGTCGAATCGATGATGACGATGATGATGACGATGAAGAAGATGATGAAAAACCTAAAAAGAAACGTGGTCGTCCAAGCCTTGAGAAAAATCCTCCGAACCCGCCTAATTTAATGAACAAAATGCGACGAATTATTCATGAAATTGTGAACTTTAAAGTTCCAGATCCAGAAGCTTCTCCACACCCAGAAGATGTGGAAGATAGTGAAAACAAAGATAAAAATAATGAATCTGGTATGGCCTATCGTCATATTGCCGATGCATTTTTAGAACTTCCATCCAGAAAAGAATTGCCAGATTATTATGAACTTATTCGGCGACCATTAGATATTAAAAAAATTCGTTCGCGTATCAATAATCATAAATACCGTTCGTTAGAAGAACTTCGCGAAGATTTTATTCAAATGTGCCAGAATGCACAAATTTATAACATGGAACAATCACAGATATATGAAGATTCGCTAATGTTGCAGAAAATATACGATGGAGTTGCCGAAAAAGTTGAAACCAAAGAAGCAGCGGCCGCAGCAGCAGCTGCCTCTGTTAGTGCTGGAGCATCCGGTGCCAACACGACCGGTGGTGACACCGATCAAGGTTATGATGACGACGATATGGTAAGTTTTTTAGCTTTAAAATATGTTTGCATTAGTAATTAAATCCTTCTATTCAATTGATAGATCGATGAATCCGATGAAGATGAAGATGACGATGATTTGCCTAAGAAAAAGAAGAAAACATCATCCACTGGTCGTACACAGGGTAGGCCAGGAAGACAAGCCAAAACGAATTCTAAACGTTACATATCCGATGATGATTCGGATGATACTGACGAATAATGTGTTTTTATTGTAAATTGTTTAAAGAATTTATTCATTAGATAAAAAAATGCCTCATCTATCTTTGAATTCATTTTTATTTGCCTATATTATTTCCTTTCATTTTCATATGTAATCATGAATCGCTTTCTAAGACAAAAAAAAAATAAATAGTCTAGGAAAACATTGCTAGAATTTATCGATTGTGTGCTTTCTAAAAAAATAAATTTATCTTTAATCATTTTATATTTTGTAATATACTATCTAATTAAATACATTTTTCCAAACGTACTTATCTTGTATCTAAGAAAACTAAATACGCAGCATTTTTACAATATTTTTCCATTGTTGTTTTTAGATAGATTATTAATCTATGAGTTTGTTTTCATGTAGGAAAGCGCTTTTTTATCAACCAAAAATGCAATTTTTCATTTTGTTCGTTATTGTATTGTTTTCATTTGTTTTCACAGAACGATTGATGGTTCGAGCTGATGAAAACATGAGCAAAATATTCAATCGTTATCAATCAATTATTTTGACCCAAAAAGCTGAATTCATAAGGAAAGCAATTAAACCTTCCTGCCGAATGATGATGAATCCTGTATTGGACTCATGTATGGCTGAATTCAAAGTTATGGTGAATTTTACGACAACAAATCTCTACAGTGATGATCACCGTGATGATTTACGCGAACATTATGAGCGATCATTCTGCTATGCTGCATGTCAGTATAATGATTGTGTATTGAAATCCATCCAAAGAATCAGTGAATATTTACTGGATTTTTGTACCGAGACTGATGTTTTATGTTCACGATCGATTCTGAATGGAATGAATATGCACTTTGAAACTCGAAATTCATCGGATAATATTATGAAATGGTCAAATCACCTATGTTCACAAACTGAATGCAAACATTTTGCATTTAATCGCAACTTTTTTACTTTGTTGATTTCATCCCTTGCTTTAATTACAACGTTATTAGCATTATTGATTTCGTCTTATTTTTTCTATATAAGTCGAAAACGTCAATTAAAATTTCGATTCGACCCCAGAGAATCGACAACTTTAATGAGCATGATTAATTAAACAATACATTTTAATAAATAATACAAATTACATTTTCAACATTCTAATCCATTATTCTTTGCAAAAATTCTCGAATTTTTCAATTCATTTTCAAATCGTTCTTGTAATACCGAATTTGTTTGATAAAGTGGAATGAATTTTTCGGTCATCCATTGATACATCCATCTCTCATCCGAATCCAGTGATCGTTTCCCGTCTGAATCCCGCTCAATCAATTGCCGATAATATTCAGGCACATAATATTTACCACTATTGATGCTTACTATATTAGGATATCGAATGCCCCGTAAACAATATAGTTCCCATAGCTCTTTCTCATTTCGACCGGATGGTAATGAAAGATTGAAATTTTGCTGCCATACTTCTGGATGTTCGCAATCACGTCCAATTTTTTTCGCATACAAGAATGCTAATGATATTTGTTTATTTCTTATCGATTTTAGTCCATCACTGTTATTCAAAAAACGGTGGTATATCCGAACAAATCCATCAATAATAGATGTATCCGATAAGGTCACATTTGTTTGATTTTTAATCATTATGAATTGTTGATACAGATCAATAGAATGTGGCCAACAATCTTCATCATATAAAATTGGATATTGAGATTCATCAACACAATAATGATAAAATAATGATGAATCATCTTGTTGATAACAATTTGAAATATTTAAGGAATTTAACTGTAAATGTTTTAACCATTTAAGATCGGAACTCATTAAAATAAGATGTTCATCATCATCTGAAGTATTAGCTTTATGACGAATGTATTCGACACTTGTTCTGATAATTTGATCCATGTGAATCCAGGAATCATCTGAAAATCGATCAGGCACGGAGTTTGTAGATATAATCAATGGCTTGAGTATGAATGAATGAATTATGAATAGCAATAAAATCAAAACTAATGCTCCTAATAATGAGAATATGATTCGATCTTTTTGATTCTTTTTCTTATCAAAAGAAAAGAGATCATAATCTCTGTGGATTACGGATACGGCATTTCTTTTCATCCTTGGGAGAGGTCGTGGCGGAATTACGGCCAATTCCAAGGATGATTCAGAGGATTGACGATCATTTGAAGAATTTGATTTTTTTTCCATAGTTTTTGATGTCTTATAATGAATACATTCACTCATGATGAAAATCTTTTTTTTGATTGCAAATGCGCATCCTCTTCTATTTCAACCATTATTTCAAAACAGTATTCTATGCCAAGCTTAAAATAGTAAAATTCAACTGTTGCTCATATCATTCTATTTATTTGAGAATATAATATTCTTTTATTCTTCAACACTATGAACCATAATGAATGTCTAATGTTCTTTCATTCTTCTTTATGTGCAAACAAACATATGATTTAGGATTATGGAGAATTCTGAGACGAATATCTCCAGAATTTCTTGCAAATTTATCCAAGTTTTATCTTTATGGAATGATTGGTGGTTCAACATTATTGTTCACACGAGACAATCGAGTGTTTGCTTATGGATTCAATGGAAATGGTCGATTAGGTGTTGGTCACTTTCGGTTAGATGTTTCTGGACAACCGGAAGAGATTGAAGAACTCCGAAATGTAAAAATTTTTTCTGTAGCTGGAGCTGATTTTATAGTAGCACTTGTTGAAGATGACAATACTCATAAATGTTACTTGCTGACCTGGGGTTCAAATAACCATGGACAATTGGGCATTGGTGATCAAGAAGATCGATGTCAACCAATTCGAATCCATAGTATAAACTATAATATCGATAAAGTGGAATGCAGTCAGACTCATGTGATGGCCATTGATTGTCAAAAACATTGCTGGTGTTGGGGCGATAATCGATTCGGACAAGTGGATGGAAACATAACAAATATATGTTATTGTTCACCGAAATTAATCCGCTTTCAAGATGATTCAAAAATTATTGATATCGCCTGCTGTGAAACTGCATCGTTAGCTTTGACTGAACATAATTTTCTTTACATATGGGGCAAACTTGATAATTGTATTGTTTCTCGGCCACTTCGAATCGATTTGATGAATAATATGCGAGTTAAAAAATTATTGGGCATGTCGAAAGCATTTGCCGTACTTACTTATGATTGCCGGGTCATTTTAATACGGCAAAAAAAGGAACGTTACAACCGTAATCTATTCCAACAAATGATACAATTTTTGACAAAATGTCTTGACGAATCGTTGCCTTGTTCCGTGATTGACATTTATGGATCACTAACATATGATACGTGTAATTTTATACTGTTAACCGAAACTGGTTGTTGTTTTGTTTGGGATATGATCAAATCGAATGCAATTCGAACAAGCATGACATCAATACCTGACGTCGCTGCTCTTCACACATGTTATTATACAAATATTCATGCGGAAATTCCTCCGGAATTGGTTACGAATGGTTCACTAATACTTTTGGGCACATTTAATAATGAATTTCAATCCGACTTATGCATTAAAACTTATACATATTCTCATTTTGTGCGAAAAATATTTGTACAGCAAAGAAAACTCGAAGAACATTCAGAATATCTTCGTCAGTTATGTCTTAATCGAATCGAAGATGATAGTGAAGAGGCATGTGGCAGAAGATTAATCATTCGCCGCCACACCTATCTGATTGTTTATGCTTATGTTCGCTATATTTATACTGGCATCTTACGCATCGATCCGCTTTATACAGCTGAGCTTTATGATTTTGCTCATGAATTCGAAGACAATCAGTTGATACAACTGATTCCAGAATTTTTGTATCATCAAACAAATCTTTGTTCATTTTAAAAATAAATTTATTTCTGATACTGTCAAGCTACTACTTTTTGTCTGTATCTTTTTCGTCGCCGAAGAGTTTTGGCTTAATTTTTTAGATTTTATTTTGTCATTTGACTGTCGTTGAGTCACATTATCGGTATTGGTCAATGATGAATTTTTGTTTAACTTTATTTTTTCACTTGATTGTCGTTTAGTTTCCTTATCGGTATGATTGCTCGAAGACGATTTCTTTTTAATGATTGATGATTTGCTTTTTTTAATGCTTTCGTTTGACGATGAATTTTTCAAATTATCATTTTGCTTTTTATTAAGGACCATACGAAATCCGATTCGACTGATCCACCAAAAAAAAATTAACAGGAAGAATATGAACGTAAATGATACTATATATAGAATATTCGACCAAAATCCCATACGATTGGATAAATAACTGCATTCTTTGGTATTAAAAGCTACCTCAATTAATACGATATTACAAAGTTCTTCGATCATGCAATAGTGTTCTTTTAAATTACACCAAGCTGAAATGCGTTTCCACTCTTTTTTTGAGCACTTTATAGCCAGACAATAACATACGAGGGCTTGGCTACAACATTTGGCGACTTGTGTTTGCTCTTTACCGGCAAGCCATTTTAGGCGTTCACCATAACAAGCTTTTATTACTGGATCCATTGGAAAATAAGTTATACTCATGTTACTTTGTTCCATGACTATCATTTTTGTTAACCATAATAGGTTAATCAAAATGGTAAACAGTACAACTCTCATTGTAAGTACTCGACAATTTTATTCTACTTGTGTAGAATTTATATAGTGAATTTTTAAAAATTATATAATTTAATTATTTGAATTTCAAATTCGATTGAATATTGATTTATCAAATTTTTTTCCAAATCAGTCATAATTATTTGTTGTAAAACAGAAAGGAAAAAATGAAAAAAATATTATAACAAAGAGAACTATGAATCATAAGAAACGATACATAAGATAACAAAAAAAAGGTAATGTTGTTCCAAAATAATAATAATAAAATGTGAGTTCGCAATATATTAATAATAATTTCATAGCAATGAAGAGTTAAAAATTTACAGGAAACAAACATTATCCTTATTCATTTTTAGTTTTGTATACACAGATAAATAGATTCTATGAACAATGATTGAACACATAATTTTTTGTCAAATGTGGATAACCATTACAGAATTTCTCTAAATATAAATCATTTATTTATATAAATTTTGTCATCAAGATTTAAACAATTATCAATCAAATTGAACAGGTTTTTCATTATTAACATGTTTTTTGGCTAAAACCTGTGTTAGGTCGATGATTTGTCCGTATAGGTGTTTGTGACTGTTGACTGTTAAGTGATGTGTTACTATTTGCTAAAGATTCTTTATTGGTTATATGTTGTGAACTGCGTAGATAATTAGCATAGCGTCGCATTTGTCCGAATTCAGTCGTTGATCTAGGTATCATTGAACGTTGTGTGTATTGGGTCTTGCCATTGTTCAATGTTTGCTGGCGTAATTGTTGCTGTTTTATGTATGTTGAAAGTTCCTGAGATGATGGTGATATGCTGATTATGGAACTGGTTGATCGTAGTAATTGTTTAGATGATTGCGATCCAGCATCACAAATCATCATTGGCAATCGTGACCGCAAGTTTTGTCGTAATATGGGAATTTTAGTTTGTGAGGATAATGGTGCAATATTGGTAAGTATAGGGCTAGTTGCTAATGATGAATTGTATGAGGGTTCTGGACTATCAGCTACATATGATGATGAAACTGAATTACGACGACTGACAGGTGTCGAATGGATTGACATCATGCCAACATTTCTGCTATTTGTCGAATTGAATTTCTGCTGTCCGTAATTTGTCGATTTCAAAAAATCTGATGTTATCGACGATTTTCGTGCTGAGACTACATTATTTGAATTAGAGATGGGTGTTGTTTTTGTAGTCGTAGAAATGACTAGAGTATGTGTTGTACTTCCATTATTAGTATTATGAATACGATGACTATGATGGTGACGATTAGCACTGGTCGTTCTTGATTGGTAATTCATTCCCCCATTCGGGCCATTCATCTGGCTGGATTTTGTATCTAACGGAAGTAATTCATCAGGCAATATTTGTTGATTCGGGTCACCACCATGACGTGCAAGAAAATGGCTTAGCGTTGTCCATCCACCACCGACACGAACCATCACATGACGAGCTTTTAGTAGCTATGAATGATGTGGAGAAATTGACATACATAGAAAGATTGAAAAAAAGGCAAGTTAATTAAATTAATCAAGCTTAGAATACGAGAATAACTTACCCGAACAAAAACAATTCGATTGGCAATTTTGTATTTACCTATATAAGATTTAAAAAAACAATAAATAATAAATACATGGATAACAATACACAATGTAATTTTATGAATAGACTTAATTAATTTTAAAAACAAAAAAAAACTCGTTTCATTCGAACAAGTGACACCATCATAAAAGTGGAAATATTCAATGATGTCTTTCGTCTACAGGAGGCAAAACATAATTGCTTTATTGTGAACAAAACATCAAATGAGAAGTAAAAATAAAATAATTTAGTGAAAAATTGTCATCAATTCAGTGCTTATATACAAAATTAATAAGTCATTTACCGTATCATGATAATCATAATAGTACTGACAGCAGTTTGTGGGAATCAGATCATCAGAAAAAAACAACATAATCATTATGTTGTACATATCGAATGAAAACTGAATCAGCTTAAATGTTGAACCTATCGGTTATCATCTGAAAGTTACGTCGTTCGTGTCCATAATCATAATCATCATTAATATCATGATGTGATTAGCCTTAGAACAATGTAAGACATATTTTTTTCCGTTTGACACATTAAGGATACAAGATATTCAGTGTGAGATTTTTTTTTATTTTGGACATATGAGATAAAAAAATGATAATGTGAATTATCTCGATTATGTATATGTCAACCATTTTCCCTCAAACATTACCCTTTTTCCCTTCATCTTTGACACATTTGATGTTTGATATAAAGGTTAAAATTTTTTAAATTAATAAACTTTGTTTCTCTCATAAAGGTTGGAGATCACCGCAATAAACATCAAAAATAATGAATTTTGTTGCCATATTGAAAACTCCAGCAAAACTTATTAATAAATTTTTAGTGAACTCATGATCTATGCCTCCAATTCTAATAGTGATGAATGAAGTCCAAACATCTAACTAATCAACGAACTAAACATTCATTAATAGCTTTTCGATAATTAAGATAATGATAGCCTTTAGCCGTAACTGTTTATATCTTTTCCAGTATTACCAAAAAATCCTACAATATGATTGATACAACGTTTTATCAATGTATTGTGTATAAAGGCAGAAAAATAGCCGAATATTATATAAGTTATGTATTGAAAAGATTGAAAGAAAAGAACTTTAGTCAAACGTACCTTCGGAAAGTCTTTGTACACCTTGACGAGCTTCTTTCCCATAATAAGTTTTGGCAATTTGCATAACCTAAATATGATGATGGAATGAAAAATAGCAGAAAAATAAAGTAAATGATTAGATAAATGAATCAAATATTAATGATGACATGTTATACAAAAGATTATTTTAAAGCATGAATGCGTGAGAAATGTTAATTAATAATAACGGCACATGTAAAATTAATCACAAAGAACGTTGAATAGGCATGTTTTATGTTCTATATTTCAGATAATGTGATTACCTTATGATCTAGTTCAGAGGTCATTGGCGTAGGTGTCGATGAACAAGTTGATGATGTTTCGGTTGTACAACCACCATGATCACCAAAATATGTAGCAGATGCTGCTGAACTCGATGCTGAACTCAGCACAGAATTCGAACTAGGTGATCTTGGCAATACAGAATCGGAATGATTAGATGATGAATAAGAACAGCCAGAATCAGCATCAACAAATCCAACATCTTTTGAATCATTTTGAGCAGAAATAAGAGTGATATCTTCATCATCATCTTGACATTCTCTGTTGATTGACTCGTTAGAATGTTGATTGACTAGCGCTAACGAAGTTGTACGGATATTTGTCGAATCAATGGAATCGATATCATCTCGTTGAGTAGCTGGATCATTTTCATCATCGGGCCATAACTGTCGGCAAATATTTTTAGAATTATGTTGAGCAGTTCTGGATCGTAATGCAGCTGGCTTATTTGGAATTTCAGGCTTTCGGAATTTGTTTCGATTGTCATTGTCAATTACTTCGGCTTGTTTCTGTATTTGAAGTTCACGTTCGATTTCACGATCAATTTCTTGTTCCAACTCGACTAAACCGGGCGCGGGACTGAATGAATACTTAGTACATGCTATTCGTGCCACTTCTAATATGCAAAGAACAACGTTCCGTTGATTTACATTAGATACAAGATCCTCACTAATGAAAAAAGAAACAATTTTACAAACAAAATATCGATCTGATCAAGAAAAAAACTTACGTTTCAAATAGGACCGCATCTTTCACACCAAACCTACGGCACCATTCAAGAAAATTACTAACATTATCTCTAGCAAAAAATGTATGTGGCTTAGCATTTTCCCAGCATTTCATATGATGAGCACTTAAAAATCCTATAGAATTAAACATTGGTTGTGAACCCGTAACATTTCCATTACCAATCGGTAATGAACATCGCCGATTTAATGAATTTGTCGCACCAATATTTTGCGAATGGCCATTAATCTTGTTCATTGTGATGAGTTCCTGTTTAGTGAAAAAATATTGAAAAATAACAGATCATTTTTATTTTGACTAGTGTTTTTGTTTTGGTAAGAACAATAAATTAGATTTCTATGCAAAAAAAATCTCATAATCATGATAACTGTGTTTTGGTTGATCAATCAAGCTTGTATCTATGAAAAGTTTATCTAGAATTATGTTCAATGCTCATTTCCTGATACCTACTATCTTATTATGAAACATAACAAAAAACCTGAAAATATTCATGCCTGACAATGAATTCCTGCTGTTTACTAAAAATTAATATATAAACAATAAAGGAATGTCGAATCATTGATTTGTCTTATGTGTTTTGATTTTGTATATAAAGTCGTCTCAATAATGACTAGTCGAAGCAATTTCGAAAGTGTTTGATAAAATCTGTAAAATTGTACAGGTTTCTGGGCAAAGAAAAATTATAGAAAAATAAGTGTTGCGATGACAAATACAAACCTTGGTGACTGATTGAGATCCATTCAATATTCGTCCGGTATCGGTAATTGGTGCATCATCAATCATGTTCCCTTCAGATTGATGTTTCGCACAGATTTGATCTTCAATCACACGTATCAATTTACACACAAGCACACCATTCTCTAGACGTTCCATAAAATTATCTATGTTGATTGATTCGTCTAAATCTTTAAAATTCGAATCACAAGAAAATTTAAAATTATTTACAAATTGGTAAAGTATTATCAATAATAATTGATTGATACTTACTAAGGATACGATTAAGCCAATCTTTTAATTGAAGAAAAAAAAAATTAATAAAAATCGTTAATAAAAATAGCGCTCTAGTGATTAAACGGTTATTGGCCAATTATAAGTTATCGAAATCATCATTATCATCATATAATTAATGTACATCAAATCATTATCAATTCATTCAAATTTTTTCCAATCTATTCACAATTTTTCATTTTTAAGCTTAAAATTGTCTATAATTTGAATATATTTTTATTTGAATGATCAATAATGATCACTTCTAGCAAAATTGTTTACCATCTTTTGGACTGGCAATTAAACTAAATGGCAAATATGATTAGAATTGAATAAATTAAACGTTTCATTTTCGTTTTCATTTTCGACTTTCGAAGAAATTACATAGCTCATAGTAATTGCTGGTCTGATCTATTTTTGGATCGATTCCGGATGAGTTTTTATTTTATTTGGAAAAAAATGAGTAAAATTAGCTATTAAAAAACCTAATAAACGATGGATGCATTGAACAATTAAAAATTACTAAGTTGATAGAAACACTTTGGTCTGAAGAAAAAACTTTTTTTTTAAATTGAAGAAATTTCATTTATTGATATTGTAACTATAGAACATTATCAAAACTTTTAATCGTAAATGGCCAGTACGAACAATTAAGATGAACGATTGTCAAAACAACTTACCGGCAACATCTTCTTTGAGTGGAATCAAACTGTCCATCTGTAATTTGGCGATATAATCCAGATAATCTTTGTCGGTTGTCAATTCAGACATAGTTGTTGCTGAACAATCAGAAGATTTTCGTGAAATAGGTACCGTATTTGTTGTCATGAAATTATCATCGTGTTTAAGTATTGAAGCCGAACGATGTCTATGTGATGATGAAGACGAGCCATTATGATGGCGGCGACGACTGTGACGATATGAACTACGTTCGATTAATCGACTGGTCAACGTGTTTATGTCCTGATCATTATTTTCATCTCTTTGTGAAATGGCAGGTGGTTGTTGCATTAATGTAGATGTAGGTGAATTGATGTCAACTAAATGATCATTCGATGTCGTTATAACATCATCGATGTTGGTAGATTGCTCAACACCGGCTTCATCGTCATTATCCTTAAAAATAGTTGGCATTTGTTGTTGGTCATGTTGATGATTGTTGCCATTCATGGTACACGATGACAACGATGATAATAATGGTGATGATGGCATTTTTAGTGGTTGAGGTATGTATGAGTTAATTTAAAAAAAATTCCGTAGAAAAAATGAACAAAATAAAAATCGTGGCAAATTAAAAGAAAGTTGGTATAAATCAGATGATCCAACTTTGTCATTGAAAAATGGGCAATATAAGATTTTGTCGAAGAGTTATGGCTTCCTTTGCGATATGGAAACGTTACAATATGGTTGAATGTGGCAGAGTATTCATCACACAACAATTAAAAATGATGTCAAAATATCTCCGATATAAAGAACGATGTTCATTTGTAAACACAATTTAGTGTCATATTAATTCACATCAAATAAAGCAACAACAACAAAAATATATAAAATAACTTTCAGTTGTTAAGAAATGTTGAAGAATTGTTTGTGGCTTGTTTGTCCAATAATCTTTTAAACAAAACAAAAAAAAATCATTTGTCGTGTGCCACATATATCTCATTTCGCTATTTATCTTGTTCTTTTATTTTTTCTTCCTCGAATTTGTGCACAATGATGATGTTTAGATTTAGAATGATGATGGAACAATTTTCTTGTTGTCGAAGCGGCCGCCTGTAGAGAAATAGCCATTGGCCACACTTGTAATGATTATTCAATTTTGGTCACGCGTGTTTTAACCTGTATTTTCTGTATATTACTTAGTTTTTTTCATCTTCAAATAGTGATTGTGTTTATGGTCAAACAATGTTTATTATATACACAACATCATTTAACATTTAGTAAAACAAGGTAATATATTACCAATTTTGACGATATACCACTTATTCAAGCGTACACTTCCGTCCGTTTGCTTGTTATTCAATTGGTCGCGGTAAATTTAGCCATTCCAATTATAATCATCGAGACAAGCCTATCTGTAAATAAAATAAAGAAAATGATAAATAAACTGGTAAAAAAAGATTTTGTTTTTTTTTTTTGTTATAATTATATTATTGAAAAAGAAAAAGTGAACATTGTTATCATTTTAATGAAAATTTTCAACGATGTTCAGTTACGAACAAAATTCTCAAATTTTTTTCGAAAACGTAAGAAAAAAATATTTTTGATTATCGATAATTTTTTCATCTGTTTGTGAGTTGCTATGAAAGTTTTGCTATTTTGAACATCAAGATCTAGGTGACAAGATTCAATACAGTGATAATTATTTTTAATTAAAATATATTCATTAATATTAATAAAGAGGGAAATTGTTAAACATTGGTGTAGTGAATCATAAATATTATATAAAGATGACAGGAAAATATTTGTCAATTTATTCTTTTAAAAAAAGGATTAAGCTAAATTAATATTTGATTGATTTGGCTAGCAATTATTGGTAATCGTTTTGGTAATCATTACTTTAATCATTACTATAATTATCATTACGAGAATTTTGGAAAAATTCTCAACTAATGATAGTCATTAGCTTCCAAAAGTAGCAGAATGATAACAATACAATTCTCTGCACCATAATCAATATTAAGCATCACCAGTTTAATCATTAATGGCAATAATCAAATGCATAGACAAACACAAACAAACATTATTAATTGTTTCGAAAATCATGTTTATCTTTCATGTTTTGGATTATTCGAATCGAGAATCTAAAATGTCACATTTTTTTGACACCATCACGATAAAGATGATGATGATGATGATGAGCATAATCATTAACAAAATAATTACCATCGTACTCTATGAAACTTTTTTCAAACATAGTTATATAGAATAATGGTTTGTTAGACGATAATAATCGTAATAATTAAAATGGCTACATTGCGTGACATTTTGTTGTCTATTACAGTATATTTTAATTGTTTTCATTATTTAAAATCATTCATAGAATCTTTAAGTGTCGTGGTGTAAATAGAGAGAAATGAGAAGAAAAGAACTCTCTCACATTTTTTTACTTTTCATTTTATAGATTTTGATTTGGGTGCATTATTTATTCAAATGGAACATCTAAATTAATAAAAATAACTAAGAAACAGAAAAAACAATAAGAAAATCTTTCGACCGATATTCGCGTTATGTGCATAAATGTGTGTCTATAATCATCATTGTGTCCATCCATGCATCCATTTTATCCATTCAGCTAACTATTACTATATTATATTGATGATGGTGATTGCAGTCATTAAGTTAGAAAACCTGACAATAAACAAACAATATGATGAGTATAATGATAAAGATTCATTACCATAAAAGTATATACAATTTGAATATATATGACAAACACAAACATAAACAGTAACAAAACAAAACAAACGATAATAACAATGAAATTCAAATGTGACAACCATGTTTGTTTCCGTTTCGTTGAAGTTTTAGGTCAATTTCAATAATGATGATAGCTATTAACGATGAAATTTACAATTGAATTTCATCCTCATATCAAGAACAATATTGACTTTTTTTTGCTGAAACTGAATTTTCCATTTATATTATTGATTTTATGAATATCAATTTCTAAAGAAAAAATCTCCAAAATCGATAAGTTTTTGGGATATTATTTGTTTATATTCAAATAAATTGAGATATATCTTCTTGTGTTTTCTTTCAAATTCAATTTGATGATGAAAAATTGGTAATGAAAAAGAAAGAGGTTTTTTCCTTTTCAATGATTAATGCCCGTAGGATGTATTCTTTATGTATGTGTGTGAGTATGTTATAGTGAAAAAGAATCCTGACGAATAATTTCGATTGCTTGGCATCACATTTTTCATCAACACATCAAGTTACATCATCATTTAATTAATAATTTAGCCAATCATCAGCTCTCTCTATCTTTGGCTGTTTTTCATCTAACATTTTTTAACCATCTTCATCAATTCGTTTCATGTGCCATTAAATAGTCATATATCAGATCAAGGTCTAATACATTCGGATAGAAGACATTTAGGCACTCATCATTTAGGGGTTTCAAAGATGAATACATTCATTAAAACAAATAAATGAAAAAAAATTCATTTGATGGCAATACAAACAACCGACCAACATTAATGATAATAATAATGAATACAAATGTTAAAAAACATCAAAAAACTGTGAAAGAAAGAGAAAAATGATTAAAAGTAGCCTGAAGGAAAACGATTGGATCGACATTTTTTTTGTTGCTCCGTTGCTTTGCCTTTTTCTGTCATTTTCAAAGGCCAAGATATACTGATGTGAATCTTTGCCGTTTTTTCAATTTTATTTATTACCAGCATTACTAGCTTCAATTTGATAATCAAAAAGATTTCATTCGTGTGTGAGTTAGTGGGACATATCGAGCAACAGAACAGGATTTATGATTGCTGTTTTGAAAACAAAAAAATTTGAATTGGGTTACTTTCTATCATTCAAATGGATGGTTTCTTTAATCACAAAGTACCTAAATAATTTTTTCTTTTCTAACTTTCTCTCATCATCATCATGGCATTAATTTCATAATCAGCTAACCGTAGATTTTTATTTCATTTTGACATTGCGTTATAAATGTCAAGTATAAGAATTGAAATCATATATGAACTTGTCAAAATAAAACAAAAAAAACAGAATAAAATTGAGCAATTTGGTTCAAAAAATTTGATCAACTTTAACATATGTTACTGATAGATAAATATAATATGCAAAAATAATGAATTAATGAAATAAGTATTGTGGCATGATATAAGACATCATGACATTGATATGATGTTTATTACTTATTCATAATGAAGAAAAAGCAACAACAATAACAACAAATTTTTAAAATGAATATAAAAATGTCTACTATTATTTTCAATATAACAATCATCATTATAAAGTGAAGGAATTTTTTTTTCTTAAAAAAGTCTTCTTTTTCTATCTATCTCTCTCTCCCTCTCTTTCGATAAAGAAAAATATGCATCGCCATAGCCATAAAATGGGTTGACATTATTATTATTATTCAAGCGAATAGAATGAAGACATAGAAGAAATTTCAAATTCGTTTCATCCATATTTTTTTCCATTGGCAATGGTGATGCATTCATCATAAAAATTTAGATGAAATTTTTTAAAATGCTCTATCACATAACTATCCTTACATATCTTACTATAATATGACGCCATTATACAACAATTGAATGTGGTTTATTGTAGTCATTAAATTGTCATCATCATTTTTGGTCATTATTGTTTGACAACTATATGTTTATAATTTAAGTAGTGTGTATTCCAAAATGGCAATTCCCGGTTAAATGATGATGATGATGATAGACAGAATAGATCATGAAGCATCCTATTCAACAAATAACCGGGGGTCTTAACGAAAAAAAATGTACAAAGAAAATTTTTCAAAATTCTTTCATCGTTAACAAATAAAATTTTTTCATGTGAAAAAAAATAGTATGAAAAAATCGAATCAATTGGTCAAAGCTATTAACCGTGATGTTGGTCGAACGGTAAAAAATTTCCCCGCACAAATCATGATGTGTGGATATGGTATACGATGATTGATTGGTCATTATTTTTGAAAAAATAAAATAAGAAATATGAATGGCATTGAAAATGATAATGAAGATAGTACAATTTTTTTCAATAAAATTCTTATCATATTACAATCTAATGGTTTATATTTCGGGTCAAAATAACAGGTCATAGTAGAAGAAAAGGGTTCGACTACATATACGATTCAAGATGTGACTGAAAAAATCTTTTCTTTTTTTGCTCAAATTTTTGATCATTATTGAAATTGAAAGGACAATCCGATTCGTAATAAACATCATTTAAATTGAGTATTTCCTATGTAAATGTATTATATTAGTTATAACAAATGAAGAGAAAAAACATCAATATTTCCATTTTGTTAATCGAGATCGATAAAAAAAAATCTAGCCACAAATAACATGGCAATCATGGTGAATGTAGATATAAAAACATCCACCAAAAACACAGACATCAACAATGTGTTGTCGATATTTTTTTTCTCTAATCAATATCAATTATTTGTAATATGATATGGTTACAATGATGATAATGACAAGCTTGATTTTTTCCAAGAAAAAAAACATGCAAATATAAATCAAAAAAAAAAATAATAACGAAAAAATTCAAGATAATTATAAAGATGATAATATACCGACAACAGTAACAAAATTACTCAAACTCTTTTATAATGTTGTACAAAACGTGATACTTAGAATCATTTGTTATCCGATTTTCAACAACAACAAAAAAAAAGAAAAGAAAAAGAAAATGTGTGAGAACACAAATATTTTTGGTTTACAAACATGATGTTGATCGACTATAATAAGAATAATAATAATAATAATAATCTTCGACATATCAATCATCATTGTGTTGAAATTATTATTACTTTCAATTAAATACAGTGAAAATTATTATTAAAAATTAATAAGTTTTTTGGCCAATGTATATTCTTAATGACAATCTTAATAGAAACAATAATAACAGTCGTCTAGATAAATTTCAACGGAAATCATTGATTTATTTAGAGCAAACAAAAAAAAATTATACATAGTGCTTAAAATAGAAGTGAACGCAAACACATCAAACGGATAAAATAATGTTTGAAAATCAATACAATCCGTTGGTAAAATAGATCAATTTTCGATAGTTGATTATTTTTGTTGTTGTTTTTGTTTTTCACACAACAAAATCATCGCCAATTTTAACTCATTTTAAGATAAATAGATAAAGTGATGTAAAATCAAACGAAAAAAATGATGAATTTATTTTTTTTTTCGGAAAAAAGTTCAGAAATCGACAGATCAAATAATTGAATCGATATAAGGGTAAATAATGAATAATAATAATAATAATAAATCGTAAAAAATTGAAAATTTTCTTCCTGAATGGATTTAATTTTCATTTCGTTTTGATCGTTGCATGTTTGATTGGATGATTGATC